TCTCTGTCTCGATGATCTCGGACTTTGTGCTGTGACTGACGGATGTAGGTTTGATGAGAATTCGATGCGTCTCGATTGGGCTTTGGCCGAACGCGCGCACTCACTATATGCGTGCCATGCTGTCGAACGCGCACTAATTATTAATTACACTATGCGTATTATTGCTAAAGGCGCACTCACTGCATATTTGTGCACTGCCGAATGTACGTGGTGCCGAAGGCGCACTTAATATGCATACTCCCCGAATGCTTGATTGATAGAGTTCGATAATTTGTAATTAAAACTCGCGGCGCCGGAAGCGCGCCACGCAGTACCATCCACACGCCGCGCCAATTCCCTACTGCTGAGCGCCCCGCGCCTCGTCAGCGCGCCGCGGCCGTCGAGCCGCCGAGCCCGGCCTCCCCACGCGCATGCGCGCGCTGCGCGCCTCGCCGCTCACCGCGATGTTAATTCAATTGTATGGAATTTTGATGGAATAATCACATCGAGATTAAGCGTATTGTATATTGTACTGCGTGCTCTTCGAAAATAACGAGTGACGACAATACCGTAGAAACAGAAATCGATCCACACATCACTTATTACGTATATAATTTAATTTTGAACGAAAGAAAAATCGATGGGTTCCTTTCTTTTTCTGTTGCACAGCTAGGATAAAGGTAATTACTTAATGTTAATTATTACAATTTTCTGATACACACTACGGTAATCTAACGGATAATTTAATACGCAAAATGGGTAAAACAATTTTGCCTCTTTAAAAAATCTGACTGTATTTTGATTATTTTACGAAGCGGGCTTGAGCCCCTTTAGCGGCCTTTAAAAAATCTGGCCGTAATCATGATTTTTATTATATAAATATTATATAAATTTTTACTTTATAAATAAGTATAAATACTTATAAATTGCCGCAAAATTACGTTATTTTTCAACTGTTTTACCATCTCTCTGAATAATCAAACACGTGTGGTAATTAAGATATAATATACGGATATAAAATTATACAATGTACGTACATATTTAAAATACATTGATCTAATAATAAATCACAAAACCTCAATATATGCGGGCACTTTCATGCGTTAAGCAATTTATATGATTCCTTAACAAATAATTATGCATGTGTACACGATGTCGCAAGTGTATTGTACATTCTGAATCTGTAACATAACATGCATATTATATGTGATCGTAAAATATAGCAAATTAAGGGACGTTCAAATTCTTGCGCCCACACTCGCAGGAAAAACTCGTTGTTACCGACGTTACGGTTAAAATGCCAAGATGGCAGCGAGGTCGAAATTCGTAGAGCATCGCGGAACACTTGTCGTTTGATAACTCCGAATCGCGATATTCGTACCCGGACTGTCCCGGAGGATATTGTACGCCCGAGCGAGTAGAGGCTCGGACTCGTTTGCCGCGGCTAATATTCGGCTGATTCTCGGCTGATTGTCGTCAAGCCAAGGGGGTTGGGGGGCCTATGCGGCACACACGTGGCTCGAGATACATTCGCGCCTGACCGTATAATTTTCCGCGTTAGATCTCGTATACGCGCGCGATTCGCCGCTGTATACGATTTGCCGCTTTGAGTTTAACGTAAATTAACGATGGATCCACGCTTGCATAGAAGAGCCGAGGCGGAAAAGGCGCCGGGCGACTTGGTCAGTGGCCAGTTAACCTCAAAATTCCGTCCCCTTGTCGGCGGCGGCGACGCGCGGTTGTCGCCCGTTGGCGATCAACGACGAGACCGGCGGGTCTCGCCGTCCTGTTCGAGGACGCTTTTACGTCGGGAGAAAGGAACGCGAACGATTGCTCTCGCGGTCCATGTACTTTTGATAAAAATATCGCATCCTCGACGGCAAATTTTGTAGACTCGAACATGTTTTGCATATATTTTTATCTTTTTTGCGTCACTTGCTTCCGATGCCAGTAGTAAATTGTCATCAATATTGTAAACATTAAATGATAACGCTTTGCGAAAGAATTATTTTGATAATTTAATAGCAATTCTATGCGATACTTTTGTACGAAAACTGCCATTGGCAAAAAAATATTGTTGATAAAATGAAAGACAATGCTTCAACAAAATCAGATTACAAATACAAATAATTGGATGTAATACAAATTGTATTACATCCGAGTATTATCACAATAATCGAAAAATTCTATTACGAAACTTTTTTTTAATGTTTTCTATTCTCTTGCAGATTGTTGAATGGTTAAATGAGGCTTCCATGAGCCCCACCGAGGAAGTTAAGATCGCAAACATATGTAAAGTGCAGGAACTCTTGTTGAATAAAGAGCCACACTTGTTGGAGCATTATTTAAACGACATACTACAATTCTCGGTAGATAGAAGCGCCGAAGTTAGAAAGACCATTACAGGTTTCATCGAGGAATCCGGGTTATTATCAACAATACTCTTCTTTTTATTATCCAAATATCGTTTCTAGAAGTAGATATTGAATGTTTTACAATTGATTTTTACAGAATAAAATTTCCGGAGGTGATCCCTCGTACAGTGCAAGTACTCCTTAGATTGGCGTCTGACGAAACGTCAGTCGTAGCTAAACGAGCACTCAGAGCCAGCGGCAGAATTCTCAGAGCTGCTCTCAAATGGATCGCTAGTGCTAGTATCGTTACGACAGACATGGAGTTAGCGTGGACTCAGCTAAGTGCTCTTAAAGTTCAGATTATCAATATGATTGATAGCGACAACGACGGGTGAGTAGAATGAATGAAAGTAAACTCTCTTTCACATGGGCAATGGATCTAACGCCGTTGAAATGTTCGACATTTTAGAATAAGAACGCAAGCCGTAAAGTTTCTCGAGGGTGTGATTTTAATACAGACATATCCGGATCCCGACAGTCCAAAGAAGCCCGATGATTTTTCTCTCGAAGATATCCCGCTAACGTTGAAAATAGCTCGTAGACGGAAACTGGAGGAAGAAGCGAATCACGTTATGGATTTATTGATCAAGTTTCACGGATCTCCACACGTCAGCAGCGTCAATTTAATGACGTGTATGGGGTCCTTAGCGTTAATTGCTAAAATGAGACCGCAGTTTATGTCAAATGTAATTCAAGGTACACAATTTACTTTATATGTTATATACAATAATACATTCTGCATCTGAGATTTAATAATTTGTGTCACGATGCACAGCGTTGCAGAGGTTACAGCACGATCTACCGCCAACGCTGTCTGATTCTCAAGTAACCAGTGTACAGAAGCAATTGAAGCTCACACTTCTCGGATTGATGAAACATCCCGCTAGTATAGAGTATGCTTCAACCATAGCTAAACAATTAACTCAGCTTGGCGCGAAAGAGCAGGAAATTATTAAAGCTTATCCAAAACCAGAAGATGTCCGTCGGATAAAGAAGCGTCAACAGGTATATAAATATATATATATATATATATGTGTAAATTGCCAAATACATTTTTCGTTATACATATTATACTTAAAAGATTTGTTTGCTTATCAAAGGAGATAGCGGCTGCTACTGCTGCGAAACGAGTAAAAATTGAAGTGGCTCTAATTGATGAGGCAGAAGCGACACCAATTCCCGTTCCTCCGCCTAAATTGCCAGACCTAATTGAACTCTCCGAAAGTTTTATTGCCGAGAGGCTCAGTGTGGAAATTGCAACGGATTTAGTGATGGACAGTATGGTACGGTTATAAATATATATTATTTATATAAATACATTCTAAATATAAATTATAAATATAACTATATATAAAAAATTTAAATTTATCCAACGCGCCTTATTAAACGATTAAACTAAACTATTTTAATAGGCATGGGTTCCGGATACTATGACGACAATTTTTCAAAGAGAATATCAGCCCACGGCAACTACCGATATTAACATACAACGTCAAACAATTTCTAAACTTCTAGCGACACAAATCAAGCAGGCTAAAGCAAAGAAGAACAAGAAGGACAAGGAGGAGGATGCCGTGATGGAAGACTTGATCAAGAATCCCACCATTAGCGTAGCCGAGGCTAAGCGGGAACGTAAGCGTGAAAAAGATCGGGAGAAAGAGAAGGAAGCAAAAGCGTCGTTAGAGGCTCATGAGAAATCTCTCGCAAAAGCCAGAAATCGTTTGAAGGCGTTAAAATTGGTCGAAGTGACAAAACCACTTCCGAAGGAGACTAAAGAACGGATGTTACTGATGGCAGTCAACAGGATATTGCTTTCAGAAAAGACTGCGGTTCTTGGTGGTGTAGCCGCTGTAAGGTATAAATAAAAAAAAAACGGAGCATAATTTATACGTGTGAAGATTCTTAATACATGATATTTATCTTTATCTCTCTACACTTGCATTACAGATCCAAAATTCTAACTACGCTAGCAGCCACTTTCAATCCTTACATTAAGGAAGCTGTCTTACGTTATATCACCGACGACATGCGAAATCGATTAGATTTAGCGCTAGGTTGGTTGTACGAAGAGTACGCACTGCTACAAGGATTTCAAAGGCGGACTACATTGTGTACAAAACCACAAGAAGCTCCACATCAGGCATACAACTTCTTATTGTGCACTTTAGTTTCAGCTATTGATTTAATTCAGGGCAAGGATCGTGATGCTTTATTGTCCAGGTAAATTAATATTAAATTTATAAAGAAAAGCGTGTACGGAATGAAATCTAAAAGTATAAACATCTACATTAATCTGACTTTGCAAATGCACTCATTTTTTTCCCCCTTTTTTTTTAAAGGCTTTATTTGGAAGCGCCATTAATAACGGAAGATGCTGTAGAGGCTTTAAAAATGGTGTCGTCTGACGAAACTAGAGGTCTTGCACCGTTGCAGCTTCTGAAAGAAATGGTAGTGCGTAGACCAACCAAACAACTGGTGTTTTTAAATGTCTTATTGTGCCACACCGGACATGAAAACAATACGGTAAGATTAAAAATCATATAACTTATGACGCATTAAAAATATGTGTAATATGTAATATATAGATACCATATAAAGTAAAATTTTTTTTATACATTTTAATAAATAGATACGGGAAGCTGCAATACAATTAGTCTGTCAGTTATACAGCCGGGCAGAATTAAGTAAACTGATCGAGGAATATGCAGTTCTATATTTAGGCTTTTTACGCCTGCATAACCCACCGGAGATTGTTTTCGGACAAGACAGAGGCAGACCGCAAATCGAGAGCCAGTGGACCGATTCAACTACACGTGCCTGTCTAGGATTGTATCTTGCTCTTCTCAGTGAACATCAAGATCTCATTCACGAGTGAGTGATGAAATCAATTTCTTTTTTAATTTATTAAGTATATATAAGTATATTAAATGTATTTGTGTGAAAATCGTGTACTATACAATAATTGTATGTTAACAGATTAGCTAGAGTATATACGTCAATGGGAGCGGATGTGAAACGTATCGTATTGAGACTGGTAGAAGGGCCGGTGAGATCTTTAGGTATGGGTAGTCCACAGCTGCTCGCACTCGTCGAAAACTGTCCAAAGGGGTCCGAAACTTTAGTCACAAGGATCATACATATCCTTACAGAGAAGTGTATGTTCTTATTACTTTAAAATATGTATTTTTTTCAATTTGTTCTTTTTCTGTCGTTTTATATTTTGGTATATTTGTGTGTGCAGCTGCCCCAAGCGCAGAGTTGGTGGCCAGGGTACGCGAGTTATATCAGACTAGAGTTTCCGACGTCAGATTTTTAATTCCTGTCCTGAATGGACTCACGAAGAAAGAAGTGATCGCCGCATTACCAAAACTGATAAAATTAAATCCTATCGTCGTAAAGGAGGTAAATAATGCGTTAAACGTATTATTTTATTCGTTTGCTTTAAGCACGATTAAAACATAATAAATCTATTCTTTTCAGGTATTCAACAGATTACTCGGGACACACAATAACGACAGCGGGGTACCGCATACATCGCCTATTACGCCTGCGGAATTATTGATAGCTCTACATAATATAGATCCAAGCAAGGCTGAATTAAAGACCGTCATTAAAGGTAGATTATCCTACGTAAAGTACCTTTGTTTATACTAACTCGAAGGAAAGTTTGTCAGCATAAATTCTCACGGATATTTTTTTTCTTCTTTCGTTTGCAGCCACGTCTCTTTGTTTTGCCGAGAAACAAGCGTACACGCAGGAAACGGTCGCCGTTGTGATGCAACATCTTATGGAGATGACACCTTTACCGACGTTATTGATGCGCACGGTCATACAAAGTCTGGCCCTTTATCCCCGACTGAGTGGATTTGTCATGAATATACTCCAACGGCTGATTCTGAAGCAAGTGTGGAAGCAGCCCAAGGTGTGGGAAGGCTTCGTCAAGTGCTGCGAACGCACGCAGCCGCAAAGTTTCGCTGTTATTTTGCAATTACCACCGGCACAGTTAGCAGAGGCACTCCGAATGGCGAGCAATTTACGTGCTCCCTTGCTGGCCCATGTTGAAGCTTTTGCCGAGAATCAGGTAATTTCGTAGCACGTTTCAAAGCATATTTTTGCCACACATTTTGTGCCAAATATGGAGATGGAAGTTCTCTTTTTATATCATTGACATAAATTGAGCGCGATCTTTGTTATTAGATAAACGAATATTAAAATAAAATTATAAGCTAAAAACACACGATGCTCAATATATTAAAAATGGATGGTACTCTGTCAAGATTTAATATTGTATGTTTTTTTTTTGTTTTTTCAGAAAGCACACATTCCGCAATCAATAATGGATGTCATACAGGGTAAAGTGCCCTGTGACATGCACGATGAGTTTGATATTGTGAGTAAAGATGCCTGTATATAAAGGAACGATTTTTTGAGCCCTATCTTTATAATATAATTCTTTAAAATAAATACGCGGTATTTTCTCGAAAAAATATCTCTTCCATCAATTTCTTTCAGGCACCACCTGGTGATTATTCGAATGATCAAAAACCAGATACAATGGAAATTGATCTTTCGGAACCAGCCCCTCCCGGTTTAGATTAGCATAAAGTCATTCCAGTGTTAAGATCAGAAACGTCGTTGACCGGGTATTTTAATATTAACAAATTCGCTCTGTAAATATACAGTAAATTATTCTTTTTTTGCATCGCTATAAGCGATATTTAGTTACATATTTCGATGATAATAGTCCATATTTATATCTCCATTTGACGCTAAATATTTTAATCGGCTAATATTTAGCGTTAAATGAGTAAAAAAAAAAGATAAAATTATGAGACGATTTAATTCGAAATAACGCGATTTAAACAGCAAAAATAAGGATAGTTTCTCAGTATATATATATATATATTGTTTTTTTATAATTAGTTTGCCACTATATACTCTGTCATTAGTTTTATAAATTAATTTTATTTTCTGATCTTCAGTATAAACTAAACATATTATTTCGGTATTTAATATGACAGAATACACAGATACTATCTGACTTCTATATTTAATTAATATCTTAGTAACAATACAAAATATTATTGATAATTTTATAAAAATGTTGAAAAACATTTCAAAAAATTGTGAATTTGCTATGAATTACTCTTAATTTTGATTTAGATTCTAATTTTTATTTACATATGTATATATAAAGAGTATCAGAGTATCAATTGTGTACGTCAGCTAAAATACAATTTAATTTATCTGTTTTAAATCTATTTCACAAAATACATAAAATTTTAGGAAAGAAAAAACGATTGGACATATCCTCATATTATTTGACAGAAAATTTTTTTATTTATATTTAATATGCATGCCTTTTTTTAAATTTTATATAAGTGCGCTCTCGAACGATCATTTCGATTTGCATTTCTTTCTTGCCTGCTCGCTCATGTATTATAAACTAAACAACTTTGTTTTATAATACGTATCTGTTTAAAAATTACTGCATTGTGGATATCACAACAATATAATGTAATCATTAATTGGAATAACGGAATACATTATTTTATAATTATATATTATAATACATAATGTATTATAATTATATTATAATTAATTTCATGTATAGAAATTAAATCGCAAATCAGTCTCAATATTGCACATATGTATTGCTGTTGGTGCATAAAGACTAAATTACAAATCAGTTTTTACAATCAACATTACATATATGTATGTGTCAAATATACATTAAAAGTTAAAGTAATTGTGCTTAAGTTCAAAAAGGACAACGTATATGTGTAAACTCGAGTGCACTTACACGTCATACTATCATATGAAAGTAACAAACAATTCTTTTCGTGACAAACGTATATAATCTGCAAGTGTATAAAAAAGTAATAAAATATTTTTGTTACATAAATTCTCACATTTGTTGCATTCTTTCTCTTAAGAAGTAAGTAAAATATACATTATAGAAAATAATTTTACATGAATATAAAAAAGAATATCAACTGGAAATATATGCTTGCCGAGAAATTATGCAGCAAGAATTTTAAGATCGATGATAACCCGTTAAAAAATGAAACCATCACACCTTGAGAATATTTCAATGCCATCTTTGTGCGATTTGCACATACAATAGGTAATAAAATATATCTATAATTATTATAATAATATATCTATAATTGTAAGATATATTTACGCAAGGTCAACATTATGCAAAGTCAACTCCGGTATCTAGTAAATCACGTAACATAAAGGATGCCTTTTTTGGAAGAATTCTGAAAACGTAAAAAATTTATTAGATCTATCTTATCTCACGTATAGAAGAATAGGGATATGAGTGGCGATATTACCTAAGTACATGCCCGAGATAAAGCAGATATCCCGGTACACTGAACTCCGCATAGTTTCGGCGGACGCCGTCTAAGATTTGTCTAGCGGCTTCTGCGGCCGGCATTGTACCAAAGTAACTAGGTATTCTGCGAAACGCGTTATTGGAAGTCAGAATACTATACTTATCGGCAGGTAGATAACAATGAAAACAGACATATGTAAAAGATTGAGTGTACAGTTTGCAAAACCTATAAGTCACCTAAAACGTATATCTTTCGCGACTTCCGTCCCGACGATAAATGGATAAACGTGAACCAATGAAACGATGATGTTGCTGTTTGAGTGTCTTAATTCCATGTGCAAGGATTCTGCCAGCCCCTGGACCGCGAATTGCGCGGTGGACAAGGGCACCCGGGTTCCTCGACCGCTCGACCCGTTGGAGAGACCAGCGACGGAGGACAGGATTGTGACGTGTCCTTTACCAGCTTGTCGCATACACGGCAAAACTGAATCCAACAGCTGCAGAAGAATAGACACTGATTGTTACAACACAACGAGACTCTTACGTCAAGATATACATATATCGGAAAAACATGCTCACCCAAAAGTGACTGATGACCGACACGTCCATGGTGTCTCGTACTTCCGATTCTTGTATTAACGCACGTGGGCTGGGTAAGCCGCAACAGTGGAAAAGCATTGTAATGTTTCCCAACTCGATCTTAATAAGATTCACAATTTGGGCAACCTAAAATATCAGGGGACCAAAATAAGATTTACGATCGGGTGGCTTTTAAGAAGAGGAAGTGCAGTACGTTTGTACACACCGCATCTTTATTTCTCACGTCGCACTGGTAGCTCCTGCACACTCCGTGCAACTGCTGGCCACGTTGCACGGTGGCAGCGCAGGTTTCCGCATTGATGTCCACACAAGCGACCACGACGCCGAATTGGCACAGCTGCAGAGCAAGCTCCTTACCTATCCCACGTCCGGCGCCTACGACCTGCGAAATCACGACGCAGTTCCTAATTAATTCGCGACGTGAAAGAAGTTTTGTCACGACGTGAAGAAGGTATATATAAGTAGGAGCCACAACGTTTACCATCGCCACTTCATAGCTGAGACTCTTCAACGGCGGCGGTCTGAACATTCTGTAGACAGCGATCAGGATCGTGCAGCACACCCCGACGAGGAGTGTCACCAGGTCCAGCGCCAGGATGCACAACGAGTACACCCGCAGCAGCATCTCCGGCGGCCTAATATCTCCTATTAGCTTGCCCTACAAGTATATTGCATAACACTTGATTAACATTAGAGAGACGTGAGTCTGATCGTCTCACGCACGATTATTCTACTCGACGAGTAGTAGATCTCGCGACGGTAATTCGTGTGGAATTTCATGCCGACATTGCACGCCACACGTTATTACACATACGTACCATCCTCACTCGGAAATTGCTTATTTACCGCTAGAAATCGCGCGTAGTAGAATTTGAACGGGCCAAGAGTACCCGCGACGGCGTATATAAGTATACCTTTATATCGAGCGAGGTTCGTGAACTTTATATATATATATCGATAACGTACGTATCTCGCGCCTACCCGGCCGGCCAGGACGCAGTCCCTCGCATCGGCGTTATCTGAAATCCCCAATGAGGTCCAATGGAATTATCGAGCGCGAAAGGCGTTTACGCTCGATACGGAATGATTAGAATCAACTCTGAGATCGAGGTACATTTATACGTAGCCGATTAGACCTCGTCATCACTCGTCGTGTTCACCACGTCTAATCGGCGGCTGGCTAACTGGCCGCTCGCTATAGTGTCGTAACGCCTGCCGGATTCTTCAGCCGGTTGCTACGGCCCTCTGAGGAAGCTTCGGCAAAGCGTGTCTAATTGCAGTTCTACAATTATCATGCGGATTATCAGCGTGACTTCGCGCGCGATACCGATCTCCGTGCAACTTCTCGTCGCGCGATAAAAATAAGAATCGTCGCCGACAATCATATCTTAATTTGAACAACATATATAATTATAATTATTGTTTCCTGTGAAAAAAAAATGCTTATATAGTGTCTCATGTACTATTCTGATGTTTTTTAATTTACCTCAAACTTCTTCAAGTTTCATAAGTTTTCTTAGGAAATTATAGAAAAAAATGAATGAGAAAAACCTTAGAATATTTCAGAATGATTCGCATATTCATAATAAACAAAGAAAAAAATATAAACTTTCTCACTTCTAAAAAGTACGTGTGTATTTTTATTTATATTTTAAAAAATATGAAAATTTTTTTTTTTAATTTTTTATAAAATTATACAGAAATTCTGAAATTTATATAGAATACTTAAAATTACGCCAAAAATTCTAAGAAAAAATTTTAAAATTTATTGAGTACGATTGAATTCACAGTCTTATATAAGTGCCTCTCGTAATTAATGTATATTTAACACATGTGCCCGTCTGCACGTCAGTGCACTGTGCAGTGTGCGCATGCGTAGATTACAGATTGCGTTGCAGCTGATCCAGCCTCGGGAAAGTATTTTTCTGCAATTATCAGCCTGTTTATGAAAATTCGACAACCATGTGGTATGAAATAATTCCATCGATGCTGATAATAGGCTTGATACCCGTGTTACCTCAATGGGGAAGTTATTACGTAAATCAGTTCTTCCTGGGAAACGTAAGTACGCAAGTTTTGCTTGTGACATAACCTCTCGGCCTCAAACTTGCAACAATTGTAAACGTTAAATAGTAACAATAACTCAAGAAATTAAACTCTCTATTTATAAGAAGCTACTTTTTCATTAAAAAAAAAATTGGAACAATCCTTACGGATGTGTATGATTTTATGAGAAAAACCGATAACAGCCAGATATGTTAATTACGTCCAAAGAACTTGAAACCTGAAATCTGTAATTATAAATATGTTAATAACTTCCGAATTAAAGACACTTCTTATCTTTAGATAAACCAAAATAAAAAAATTTGTTATCACAAGATGTTTAATTAATAAAGCTTAGTTCATAAAATTCAAAAACTTGATTAAATAATGCTTTATATCAAATAAATATATCGTTATTGAATCCAAATTATTCATACATATATTATGTATTTTAATTTGGAATTATAGAATTATAGAATTATAGAATTTGATGTAATTCAAATATAATTCAGTCTGCATTTTATAATTGTTGCACTTATTTTGTGTAAGTGGAAAGTAGTTCCATTATATGCGTTTTAGTCTATACACTATTTAAAAAGCTAAATTTGCAAGAGACTTTGGAAAGTAATATGCGATGCAAATTGATTTGTATGGAATTGAGATATACTTTTTTGATTTCTTTTTTCCAGCCAATGCGTAGGGACATGAGAGACGTATGGGATCGTCATATGTTTACAAGAGATAGTCGCTTACATGGAGTCCCATGGAAACACACGGTAATTTGTTAATTAATATATTTATGTAAAATACGACATGTTTTATATACATTTAAATGTATGACTTTACTTATTCATGTTTAATCACGCTTGTTCATAGGGATTAGAGAATATTCCTGATGATTAAGGGTACAAAATACAATAAATGGATATAATTGTAGTAATATGATACAGCATATGGAATAGACAAATTATCATCCAATTGTAATTTAATATAATGAACATACAATATAATGAAGTGTATATATAAATACATTACACATTAAATATATACATATATATATATATATATATATATATATATATATATATAAATAATTTATGTGCATTACATATATCTCTTACCCATTATTTCTGGCTGTCTAAATGCAAAGATAATTTCACGGAATCTAGACGTTGACAAATAATTCACTATCGTTAATAAAAAAATAGATTGTGTAGAATTCAGACATTGCTAATTTTTTTATTTATGTGATTTATACACATGAGGTAGCTTAAATTGAATATCTATAAATATAAATTTAATTTGCGTTAAAATTTTACGTAATGGAGAAAAACTCAAATTTATATAATCCATGGATTAAATTTCATCCTGACGAACAGGAGAGAGTTAGCTATAGCCAGCTTAAATATTTCAATGTGAGTCGTAATAATTAATTCCACCAGCAAAGCAAACTCACTAAATTAATGAATTGTAAAATTACACTCGTCAGAGGATGTGGGACGGATTAGTTGCGCTTGCACGGATATCTTACGGTTGGAGAGACTGGAATCAGCGGGGTAACATTATCTCCATCCTGTGGCACCGTGCTACTCCTTAGCTAAGCGTTTCACGAATACGCCATACTTGTGCGCGGTATTGATAAGATAAGGGCGTAAATACCAAGTGGAAACTCCGTTCCCCGAAGTCTTGAGTGTGATATTTTCGGAAAATCAATAGTTAGCGGCACCCACGGTAATGTAACTTAGTTACTTTATCAAGTTAACGTACATGCAGTTCGAGCCTTAGATAAATAATGGGGCATGCCGCTCCCGCCGTACTTAGGGCGTGTGCCCTGTGTCAAGCATTTGACGGGTTTCAGCGAGATGTTTGAGAGATGCTGACGCGTAATTAATATTGACTCACGTCTGCATATATCTGCGTTTACCGTACTCTCAACCGTGATAAGGTGTATTCGTACGTCACGAATACAATCGTTTGAATACGATTATCCGTATTTATACACGTTAACAATGTCATTCGGCCCAGTAATATATTATCAAGAGAGATTCATTCTGTGAATTTTGACGGATATAATAGATCGTTGCACTGTTTTTTTTTCCGATTTACGGTTCTGAACGGAAAAAAAAAGATAGGAAAAAATATAGTGATGTACATCACTCGACTTAATTGTGGAAGCGTTTAATGTTGAAAGTTAGAACGTTAGTCTCTCGTTATATTTTTAGCGAAGAGCCGAGCCGCAGATTCGTCAAAGGACGCGCCATTAAAACGAGAGAGAGCGCATCTGATACGCTTACCGTTTTACTAAGTCTCTCTCTCTCTCTCTCTCTCTCTCTCAGAGAGAGAGAGAGAGAGAGAGCTACCTCTGGTATCCCATTTCTGTGGCCTGTCGTTTCTAAAAGACGTCGTTAAGAAATTTTACTTCAAAGCGACACATCTCTCGTCCGAGACGCTATAAGCGAGCTAGGTGGAAACTTTTCGACCCTCAAAATGAGAAAGTTTTAGACGTGTCTCTTTTTTTTCTTGCCTCGAACACGCGACATCACGAGGGCATTTACATTGCTAATGCGTGTGTACCTGTGTATGTGTGTACAGGGCAATAAGCTTAAACGTGGGTTTTTGTACGATAAACACGTGGATGACGACGATACGTCTCCTGGTATCCGCTATTTGAGCAACAAGTGTGCCGAAGGAGGGATTCGGGGAAGCGCGTTACTCTTCGTGCGATAAACTTTGACATCTGGGGATCGTTGGATTGACGGGAAATAATCACTGTCAAGAGCAGAAGGCGCAAATATTAATAAATTAACAGTCCCGAGAGAGGCCTCACAGCTTGTTCTTGAGTATATATTTCAGCCCTGATACAAATAGCATCTTATCTTGGACATCTTTTTCCCGTATATAACGTGCCAGACGAAACTTTTGAAAACACAATTTCTACTTTATTTTTCTTTTATAATCGATACGCTTTCTTCAATATAACTTCCTAAAATTATTCGCTCGATGTTCGAAAATATCACTCATCAGAAACGTATTTTGAAACCTGTAAATACTATATAAGCATGTATCGGTATATAATTAAAGTTTTATGATAACAATTATTGATCGGCAAACTATTGCTGACAATCTTTGCGAATTAATTCGCCAGAATTAGAGAGAGAGAAAGGGGAAGGGGGAAAAAGCCCGAAAAATAGAAAAGTGAAAAATAGATATAGCGATTTCATCTAAATTATTGTTATTTATATGATATTTATCGTCGCGCTCGATGGCGAGATACACAGAAGACATTTGTCAAAAATCACCCTTATACTATACCACGATATTGCCGCGAGACTGACGAGATTTAATAGACCGCGTCGCGAAGAAAATCTTTGCGCGAGATCGACCGCCCGGGATGACAGATTAAGAATTAATATCGCGAAAGTAGCCGGTGCCGTGAGGAATATTACCTTAGGTACGCGCGCACACGCGGAATGAAAATTCTCCGCTTGTCAGACTGCCAGCAGAGAAAGAAATATCCGGCGGGAGGGCAGCCTCTCCCGGTGCCGACAGGGAATTCTTATTTCCTTTTCTCCTCCACCTCCTTCTCTTCCTCTTCCACCTCTTCCTCCTCGTCGCGTAAAACGCGTTTTGCTATCCGTTTTACCCTCGGCGTGTTCAATATATATACCCCGGGGCAAAGACGCTTCCCGAAATTCACGCGGCACGCAGGGAAAAGAGGTTCCAGATGTGTTAAACGATGGTTTGCATCTTTTGTTTCTCGTCTTTTCCCCATTTCGTTTCGGACCCTAAAATATATAAGATCGACCGTCAAACTGGGTGAACCCTGATAATGTGCAGTAATGGCGAAGGTTGTCGATAGCGGTCTTCGAACACGGACATCTTTCTTAGGCCAGAAACACGAGACTTTTTAATAAAAAAAGGAGCTGTTATTCTAGAAAGAAATTCTAGGAGAACATTTTTTAATGATCCCATATGGAAGCTCTCCATATATGGAGAATTGAAACCAAGTCATCTCTTTTACGATTCTCAGAAATTGGTGTCAATTACAAAAGTGAAGCAAATTTACTAGGTGATGATGAATGTAAAATTATAAATGAAATTATAATTTTTACCAATTTTCGAGAACCGTAATAGACAGCTTGGTTTCAATTCACGCACGTTTTATGGAACCAACAATACACTCTTTCTTCGCAGCAAAATTGAATCGATCCCGTTGCTGTCTCGTCAATCCAAAATTGAAAAAAAAACACGTATTTACATCTGTGTCCTTTTGACTCTATGTTTCCGCGTAATTTCCAGCACGCACAGCTTCATTTCCAGCCGCTTACGAACGTATTGGGAAATTATTGACGGTATTTAGGTCGGTCGAACGAGAGTCGATCGACGATCGGTGATTAATACAAATTTGCAATCTGCAAGTTTATTAAACGTGAAATGAACCCGATCGGGGCGACTCGAAAAAAAAAAGGAAACGACCTGCGATAATTTCGCAGATGTTTTTCCCATCCGGCGTGAACCGCGCCGAGTGGCGCGCCGCCGCGGGCGCTATCGCGGTCGACGTGGGGTATTTAATCAAGTAGCGAGATTGATATTAAACACGTACGTACATACGTGCGGGGTAGTAATATGTCATAATGCGCGCAAGCTCCGCGAGGAAGAGATGCACCGTACACACACACACACACACACACACGCCGGCTGTGCCGTAAATAAATTACGCTTCGCAATTACACAAAGGGCGTAGCGATCCTCTCGTATCGACCTTCCACGAACTCCTCGTTATTGGCTCGTAAAAGGAGTCCCCTTTCCTTTCCCGAAAAACATTAAAGTCAGGGAACGAGTAGTAAAGCCAACGTGTATATCCCTTCCCTTCCCCTGTCCCTCCCGCAAGGATGTATTATTCATGCCTCTGTGCGAAGCCCTCTAAGGAAAAGTCCCTATGGAAGCGTCCCTATTTCGGCTCGTCATACGCCGAAGAATATATGCTCTCTGAACAAGTACGGAGGAAAGAAGAAGAAAAAAAGAACCGGCGAAGTATCGTCACGATGATCGAACATCACGCGTGATCGATTGTCTTTAGAAAGTTACGCTCATGTATTAACGTCAAGTGTTTTGATGGATGTGACCGATTCGTAAACAGTCGAACGTGCTTCCGCTAATAAACCTGTAAAAGCATAAAGCGCGAACAGCATTATATTGGCTAGCCTAATTACATTAACTGGTTACTTGTATCAACCGTCAAGTGTTCCGATGCGTGACGAATTTCGCGTAAACAATTCAAGTGTTTGCGCTGGCATGTATTTTAAAAGGGCGTAAATAGCGTCCTTTGTTAGTCGTCAATATTATTAATAATATAATAATTTTATTATTATTATTATCGAATATAATGATGACAATACCGTTACAATATTAACTACTATTTGATTTTATTCGATGAAAGTTCGCATTTTGGAAGAATCGAGATGGATATTTAGCGTCAAAATATATCTCTCCGATGCGCAAATTTCGGTTTAAATTTGCACGTGAGAGAAATCGATTTCGCTAATTCTATATTAAAGTGACAACGTAATTTAATTATTAAAATCCATTACTTTTTTTTTTTACCACCACCCCCTGTATACACGTCCGTTTACTTATACGCGGTGCTATAAATCCGGCAGTGGTAATACATGCATCAGTCTTCTCCACAATTATTATTAACGACATAATAAAATATGATGATTTACGGCAACACTATATAGCTTCCGACAACAACGCTCGGCCGCGAGAAAAAGCTATACAACTGTAAATCCTGCTTCCATCTGTACTTTATAAATCGTGGAAGAGCGCAATGTACCCGGAGTAAAATCGACAGAGAGCGGTCGCGATACGCGACATTAATCTTGGATTGCGAATAAGCGCGACGTCACCTCGCGACTTGGGGCGCGACGTCGTGTGACGCACCTTTCCGGCGTGGATTTTATTTTCCTTTTCTTTTTTTTTCTTTTTTTATTTTTTCGAAAAGTCGGGATTTCTTCCGAATCTCGCGGGAGAGAGCCGCGCGTCTCGATCGTCGTTACGGATTTCCATCCCGGGGAAATGGAACTTATCGATTCGCGCGCGCTTCGTTCATCCGCCTGTATACACGCGGACCAACAGAGACATCGACATCCCTCTAATCGCGCGTCTCTTGAAAAATCTATAAACAACGTCAATTTTTCATTATCAATCGCGAGCGCAGCTCTCCGAGTCGGCTTCCATTATTCCGGGCCCGCTGAATTCTTTAGATCCGACCTTTCGCATTATCGGCACCTAGCAAAGCATCGCGCCGACGTAAAAATCCTGCGCCGATGCTGCAATATTATCAGCGTCCCTCGTCCTGCAGCGCCCGTGTGCATACCGTGTGGAGGTTCTTTTGAGACGGGTCACTTCGCCGTCCGCTCGGAGGATTAATTACATGTCGCTTCGTCCCCACGAAAGTTACCCCCGGGGGGGAGGGGGTGGCTTCATTGCCAATTCCAATTCGAGAAAATCGTCGGGGAGTATCTACGGTATGCCCACGGTGTACACCGCTTGCGCAAAGTTGCTCTCCCCGAGTCCCGCTTCCTCGGACTTACCGCGCGAGTCCTTTGCGCCCGTCGTCGTCGCCGCCCGTTACTTTCCAACGCAAACGAACGCCTATCGCCCGATCCCTTTTAACGTCGACGACGTAATGCAATTCGCACGGGCGACGAAATTAAATGAAAAGCGGCACAGGCGAAGGAATTAATTTGATATCAAATATACAATTGTCCGACGGTGCGTGACACTCGCGAAAAGACCGTCCTCTCTCGTGCATGCATGACGGTCGTCGCGTTTTGCCGCGCGAGGATACGCGGAATAGTTGGCCGACGTTTGTTTGAAGTTTATCCAAAAGGTAATTCATTTTAACTGCTTTTTTTTCATCCGCAGGTGATCGCTTTTTGTTTCTAGTAGCGTCATAAATCACCGGCGCGATGTGAAACGTTAAATAAAAAGCCGTCTCTTGCATTCTGAGCTCTGTTGGAAATGCAATAATGTCTGGATTATAACATCGGGTAGTGAAGAGAACAATCGGAAGGGTAAAAGCGCTTGTTGTAACTCACAAAAGCATTTTGCAGTGTAGCGCGTATACACGTCATATTAATGTTGAATATATGTATAGCTTTTAAATGAATTCTAATTTATAAATATTTCGTCCTTCCCGACAAAATAATAACTAATTATCGGAAAAAATAATTATGTTTCATTATTTTTATATATTCTTTTATCCTCGTTTATTCTCTTTTCAGTATATACACATGTGCACATAAATATGTGCATATACAAATTTATTGTATATTCATATGTAATAAAGTACGGTTCGAAATGTTGTTAAATTTTTATGCGGCACATTTTTCGAACGGAAATTGGTTTGTTTGTTTTTTTCCACGTGTTCTCCTCAATTTTATTCGCTTGATAACGTTTTAAAAATCCTCTTCCGAAATATTTTCTTGGGAATTTATAGACGGTGGAGAGATACTCAGAGTGTGCAAGAAACGAATGGACCACCCTGCACCTAACAGGCTTTCGTGGCTAAAACCAAACAGAGGAAAACAATCGGGGTTAACGATGGAATGATTACCGCTTAAAATAAGTAACAATTTTTGCGTAACGAGGCAAAACAAGCGGGAAATAATTTATCAGCGGGTCTGTTTGCCCCGCGAGAGATCTCCAAGTCCGAGAAGCATTTCTCTCTCTCTCTTTCTCTCTCTCTCTCTCTCTCTCTCTCTCTCTCTCTCTCTCTCTCTGTCTGTCTCCCCCCCCCTTTTCTTTCTTTTTTTTCATAAGCTAACTTTCAATTTGCGGGTACGAAAGCGAGTACTGCGAATCTACATTCGCGGGGCGGCGCGGGCGGTGCCATCTTTGAAATCCATTTTCACGGATAAATGAAAACTTGCTGAACTTACATCTCGCGCCACTTTGCATACATCTGAAAAGTTTCGTGGAAAATTAAAATTTTCCCGCTGCCGCTCGGCTACCCGCGTACGAAATTTCAATTGGCTTGTCAGAAACGCGGCGCCCGGGTCCTGGACACCTGGATTTTAATTAATGCGGCAAATCAAGATCGTGCAGATAGATATCCCCCCCCTTAGATAGATTTTAAATTGTCATACTGTTAGATGATGTATAAGCGCGTATTATTATCCGTTATGAATTTCGCGGAAGATTTATGAAAACATTTCCGAAATTAATTGCTACATTAAATCGCGTATGACAGATATTATCGCCGTGGAAATGATTCACGCTCTGTCATTAATTATACAACAATTTGACGGTTGTCGTAATAGGCCGGGAGACGAAAAAAAAAGAGATCATTAAAAGTCCCTTGGAAAAGCCGCTTTGTTAGACACGGATTTCCTCGAATTCCAATTCCTGTCGATCTTTAACACTCAGCTGTGTGAAAGTTAATAGAAATAGATAACGGGCACGGAAGCTCCGATTCTTTTCATTTACGCTGGCGCCTCCAAATTTATCTTTATCGCTGCTGATGTATGTTTACGCGAAACACCCTATATGCATATCACATCCCTATATTTTCCGGGAACAAAATAAACAAAAAACTGTTATGAATGTAAATCCCCGACCCCCTGAACTGTTTTATGAACACTTCCGCTTCGAATTTCGTTTATTGCAAAATCGTTGTTGGCTGTCAACAACGCGGCAACAACGGCCGCTGGATTGCGTATCGCGAAATCCGTTCGTAAACACATCTCATTTTCGATATGCATAGAAAAATGTAACTTTGTACGCGCGTATCGGACGGGTAGAATTTGGAAACAAATTCTTCTACGGTTTCCATCACGTTGAAATTAATTTCAGAGATTTAGACGCCTGTCTGTTGAGCCAGGGTATACATAAAGATATATATAATAATAATATATCGAAATAATCCTATAAGAAGAACAATTAGTTCCAAATGTGACTCGAAGAGATTAACTCAAATAATTAAAATAACAAAATTGCCAGTCTAACTAATTGCATAAGAAACAAACAATTATATCATAACGGATTCTGTACGCAGAGAAAAAAATATTCTCGTGTGTAAGCAAGAAATTGTGTAATCTTCTTAGAAGATTTTAGTCTTGATTGAATTTTTATTGATGCTATTGAATTTCTATTGAAGTACCTCCCCTATTACTTTACGCAATTCAAGAGAAAGAGACTATAAAAATCTTCTATATGAAAACTATAGTATTCTTGCTTATATACGAGAACATTTATTTAATTCGTTTAAGAGAAATTTTTTTTCTGCTTAATAATTTATTTTTTCTTAAACACCGATCCGAATAAACCTCCGAAACAATTAATATTTATCTTCTGTTAGGTATCGTGAAAGGAATTCATTATAGATCGATGCGATCCGGCGCGACATATCGTCGCCGTGACGAGCATCAGTTTCATAACAAAGTGCGTAGAAAGATCTGCGTCTCTGAAATTTCCCGCGGCAAACAACCGCTTTGAGAGTCACTGGTCTAAACGACGTCCTGTCCTGCTGCCCTAAGTTATCAAACGATCCTCCCTCGAGTCAGCCCTTACACGCGGGGAGCGCCCTAACAACGGTGGCGCGTTAGGCCCGTGGGGAAGCGTAGGCTCGCCGGCCGAGCGTGACGGTGACGTGAGTCCGAACTCCGAGGGTGAAGAACGGCAGGCGCGCGGTGAGTCGCACAGTCGAGCGTGAGACTTGGTCCGAGTGGGTTGTGCACGCTTTCACTCTCCTCATTTTCCGAACGCGAGCTCCGTCTCCGATCGAGCCGATCGCGTCGTCGTTTCTACGTGGAATCCTCGTCGCCGAGAAAGGAGCAACCGAGCGATTCAGGTGCGAGAGATCTCATCTTTTACCGATCCTACGCCGCGCGCCTTTCCGAGAAAATCGGGTAGGAAAAAGCAACGGAGCAAGGAAGGAGCAGTCAGAGAGAGAAAGAGAGAGTTCGGCGAAGCCGCCGATCGAGGGAGTCCCGATCCCGCGGCGAGCGGCACTCGCAGTTGCGCGCGAGACGCCGTCGAGGTGACTTCGTACTCGTGCGAGATATAACGCTGCGGTGTCAGTATAGAGATCCGGTTGCGGAATTCTTACGTGTTCACGTGGAACTGATTTCAATATCGCCTTCAAGTTACGTGGATTTATTGTTACGAGGCGGATAGAAACGCGCGCGGGAATACACCTGTCGCGTCGGCGATTTTAACCTCCCGAGGCCTCGTCGGTAGGACGCTGTCAGTGTACGTGTTTACGTTACATTCGCACTTCTGTGACGTATGTCATTATTCATTTCTCGTTCCGCTCCGAGTTTATCCTGCTGGTGGACGCAGCGCCGACCGAGCGCCGATTTCTCAGATCGTCCCGACGTCAAGTCGGCGAGTAAAACGCCGAGAAATTGGCCTCTCTGCGGCTGCGGCAACGGATTCTCCATTTTGAAATTCTCGAGTTCTCGACGCGACCGAGTTCCCCACGGAGTTCACGCGGAATCTCGAAGAGATCCTGTTTGGAAAATATCGAATTTTTTTTTTCTCTATCCTTTTCAATGTTTTCTTCTTTTACTTTTACGAGTCGATCTTATCGATCGATATCGACAAGTCGAGCTCATTGACGTAACGAGGAGTTTGTGCAGACTCGATAAATTCGTCTCAATAATTCGTAACGGGGACGTAAACTCGGCGACGCGTTTCTTTTTTTTTTCTTTTCAAAATTTATCAAATGCACGTCGTGGAATACATCACGCGCGCATATAAGGATTTCGCAATCTGTTCCTAGAAGTAACTCGCGAGGTGAGATCGATTCACGATTATCGGCCTCGGTCTTTGGACCAACGCCAAATTCGCAATTCATATCCGCGCGCAACGCAAGCGGTCGATTTCTAATCGTAAACTTTCGATTCGCGCCGGTGAATATCGCGGGGAGAATCAATCGGCCGAGCTAACCGCCTGAAATTTCGCGTTCGGGACTCGCTCGATTACGAAATTTCACGCGGGAACTCAATCTTCGGGGGCCGCCGTTAACTTCGCGCCGCTAACTTCGTTCGGAAAATTGCAGACGAAACCGGGATTTTTCAATTCCTCTTCGGATTCGGAAAAGTCCGGTAAACTTAATTTTCTCAACTCCCTTCTTTCAACAAAAACAAAAACTGCTTTCCTTTTTGTCCAAGGAGAGAACAGAGAGAATTCGAGGGAAGTATTCACCGACAAGTGTGTAAAAGCCTCAATGTATCGCGCATTCCGGCAATATATAGTTAAATAAACGTGACAAATATTTCTTTTTCGCTAATTTGTGGCAAGACTCGAAATTAAATTTCATTGTTGAATGTCGAAGCGATCGGGAAAGAAAATGGAGTAATTTCACAAAACACACACACACACACTCACACACACACACACACACACACATACACACACACACACACACACACACGTGCGCGCAAGACGCGGTCGACGCGGCTCCGCCGGTTGAAAAACACTGGTCGAAACGGGCATGCGGGACCTCGTAGGGGGGAATGTCCTTTTTTACTACGCACCGCGTCGGGTGCCCTTGAGCCAGGCTAAGGAAAAGAGGGAACTCGGCCGAGGGAGTTTATATGGCGCATTTGTATATATACAGGACGATTCATCGTTCGGCTGCGACTTCGTGGAGGCCGGTGACGCAACGCTCCCGGCTCCTGTACAACGAGGAAGAAAAAGTCCGCGATATGACGGAGTAGCGGCGCGGTTCCAAGTCGAGCTTCACCTTGCTAACTCCACTCCGCCTCGCTTCGCCCCGCTTCTCGTTCCTCCCTCCCGCTCCAGCTCTCCTTTCGTCATCCTCCCTGCCCGCCCGTCTCGTCCTTACCGACGCGTGTGCGCGCGCGATACCTATATACCGCCGAGCGGACTTACGTCTTATGCGATGGTGTGCGTGAGATCGCGCGTGCGGATCGTTCGTGAACTCAGCAGCAGCAGCAGCCTGTAGCTCGTCCACGGCAAAATTGGAGGTGGAATTCATAGAAGGGTAGAGAAGCAGCCCGGAAGAAGAAAAGAGAGAGAGAGAGAGACCCGTTTTCTCGACCGTCCGTCGACCATCCGAATCCGACGATGCGGCCCCTCAGGAAGTCGTCGTGGCGATGGACCATCAGTAAAATAGGTGAGTAGGAACGGGAAGGCATTACTATACGGAAGAGAAGAGGCGGCGTTTCCGCGGCCGCGTCGCCGCCATTTTCGAAATGAATTTCGCATCGGGGGCGAAATTGCCGGCCGGCTGGAAGTTTTCGTATAGGGAGACCCTTGCCTCGGTAGGGTCCATGCCCGGTGTAACGATAACAGTTTTCGTTGTTGAATTACGAGCGCGTTTGGACGCGCGAATAAATCTTGGAGGCGTTTTGAATATATAATAATATTGTAAGATAAATTGAGAGGTGTGTGTATGTATATTACAAATATAAACGCGCGGTTGAGACATAAATTTAATTAGGATTGAAGAACGTATCTATTATAACAAATAATCTAGCATTCAGAAAAATGTTCTTGTACCAAGAGATATCAACAATGACGCATTTTAGTGAGATTAAATAGAATTTTTGGTTATCATAACCGGAATTCCGTTTCTGTCTGATCTCACTAAAATGCATTCTTGATACGTCTTGTTGGTTTAATAAGAACATTTTTCTCAGTGACTCTAAGAAACGTAACGTTCACTTGAAAACAAAAAAAAGATTTGTATGATTTATTTCATCCGGCTTGAAATACGCTTTTCAAGAGGAAGGATTAATTATACTTAAAATCCGCTCGAGTCTATTTTTCGAACATTTATGAGCCGCTGATTAGGATGTAATGACCGACTGTATCACTCATGAATAACATAATATAGTATTATTTATACAAACATCTGCGAGCCTGCTTTGCGGACATGTCATAAATAATAAACAGGCGAGTGCAGTGCATACGCATGTGCGATTGGAAAAGCAACAAATCTATTCTATTTGTCATCAGACACTCATACGACTGCACTGCATAAGTGATCTAAGAACGTATAAATGAATGTTTGCCGTGGGGGAAGTCTATACATAATTTATCTATGCAGTAACTCGAACGCAGGGAATTTTGCTACGAAGAACGTAAAATTCCCGTATACGTTCCCTTATCTCGAACGTTGCACGCGCGAGTTCGCGAGCGCACTTCGAAATTTAAACGAAAGTTAAACGACGGTCGACGGACGTGGATTGTTCATTTGCGCGCGGGCACTTAATCCGCGGGAGGAAAATACGCCGCTGCTCTCCTCTCAAAAACGCGAATTGTGACGATAAGTGGGGAAGAGCCGCGGCGTCTTCGCGTGAGAGAAAAATGGCAACGCGTATACATGGCGCGTGTACGACTCGCGTGTGATTAAATGGAAACCCGGGATCGCTGTCTTCCACGTTGATAAATCGCGGAATGAGAGCGCTCCTCCTCGGGCGACAACTCAAAAAGATGCTCCAAGACCGCAGGGCATCCCTTCTACCGCGATCGATGTACGACCGGTGGACAATAAGTGATACAATGGAAGGGGGACCAGAGCCAACGGGATATCCGGAAAATTGATTTTTTTCGCATTGTCGGGGTAAAGCGAATAAAGTCGAAGGTACATAATACTCTTTCCCTCCTCCCACGTCCCACCTTCCGTCTCTCCTCCCTGCAGGTAGCCATACTCTTTCCGCTAATACCTCAGCTGTGCGTGCGGCAACGGAACGTTTTGTACGGAATTTTTCAGCGACTTACCCCGCGACGGTTCCATTAATAAGATAAAACGGAGCATCACGGAGGATTCTTCAACGTTCTTTGTCCTCTCTCTCTCTCTCTCTCCCCCTGCCCCTCCCTCGCTCGCTCCGTTGCACTTCCGCGTTTTGCGGGAGACGCGCGGCGAGTGTATCGGAGGGAGATAATTCCAACAAATGGATTTCGCGCGACGTCAGTTTAATGACACGCTTCCGTTAATAATTTCGTTGCGGAAACGCGATTTTCGCTTCCCCGCACTGCGGATGTGATGAACACATTTAATTTCGATCTCCCCCGCCGCCCCGTAAACTAGATGTTCTGACAGACAACCCGCGCGAGCGCGAGCTTCGGGTCTCCTCATTCCGGAGGTACCGAAATGCCTCGAATTGTTTCCACCGGCGACGACGTAACGAGATTGCGTCAACCGTTGCGTACCTCGATCGCGCGCGCCGCGCCGGAGTCGATTGGGAGCGCGCACGTAGATGACGTGCCCCGCCGACTTGGGACGAAGTTACGTTGTAATCTTCTTACACCGCGGAGAAACGTCGGAACTTGGACGCGTCGGTCGCGTCAATAAACCATTAGCGCGAGCGTAAACTAAAAGCCAGTACCTACGGGAGCTGCACGTTGCCGCGTCGTCGCGCCACGGGCGCCCCGTCGAAAGCGCTTTTTCCTCCGGCCCCGAATTTCGCGCGAGAGGAAAAATCCCCGGCCTGTGTCGTCGAGTTTGAAACTCCCTTCGATTATTCAGTACGAAACGGCGATGGCGGTATTTTAGCCCCTACTCCCTCCCCCTCTCCCCTCGTCACTAATGCATTTATTTAGCTATTTTGGAGCTGCTATTGCAAATGAGCTATTATCCGTATACAGACAAATTCAATGATCTGTTGTATATAAACTAGAAACTCTAAAATTTTCATAACTGTCTCTTATACCGCAGACGACAAAAACGCGAGAATCAAATTGATCGAAACATATATAGAACGGTCATTCTTCCCAAATTCGGCAACAGTTAATCTTGTATAAAATAGACTGATCTCGCTTACGTACATAAATTAGTCGTAAGATTAATAATTCAATTTTAATAGTCTATCCGTGAAATGTACTCTCGGCTGTATTCCGAGTTTAAGTTTAGCGAGGTACGAGTTTAGCGAAGAGAGTATAAGTTAACGAGAACGCAATGTAGAATTTTATGAGGAAAGATTACATCAAAAGCAACATTCTTAAAGCGAGTTTAAATTGGCTCTACTATATTCATTCCTTTCATCTGTCATCTTAAGTAGTTCGATAATTAAGTCGTAAATTACTCGATGTTCCTTACAGTCAATTCTAATAAAATTGTCGCAGAAAATCCGGAAGTTAATTGAAGAACCATTTACGACCGAAGTGTATTAGTGCAGGAATTGTTACATCTTCGTAAACTTAAAATGGACATCATCAGTTTGAAATATAAGAACAGCTGAAGCGCCTGTCGTGAAAGAGACTCACGATTCAGAAGTACGAAAATTGTATTTGTTTTCGATTCACTTCTCTAAATACCGTTATTTACCAAAGAGAAACGCATCTAAAAGATGTAAAGTATATTGCATTGAAATAAAAAAACGTCCAAACACACGCAGTACATTGAAGACTTTTGATATTACAAAATGAATTGTTGTAATAAAGCAAAGTGAATAATTGACGCTAAATTTTCAGTTTTAATTTAATAATTTTCACATTTCTGCACACATGCGCGTATTCAGTCGTAACCAATTTGCACATATTATATAACCGCAGGAGTAAAAAGAAATAGAAATTTGCACATCAAGTATACGTAATTATCGTGTGAAATCCTTATTGAATCTCGACAAATAGCAGGGATATATTTTCAGCTGTAATTCAAACATTATATATATAGATATCTAACATCTTTCGCGCAATTTATACTAAATTTAATATCGTTTGCACCACGATTATTTCTTTTTCGCTCTCTAATATAAATTTTAATTATTCGAGGAAAATGGTGATAATTAAACGCGAAGAGCTAATTTTACGAATTATATATTTGTAATCATTTAAAATATCTATTCCTATATATACGCAGAAAAGACGATTTTGCTGGAAAATCCCAAAATTTAACTGGATAGAGATTTGAAAATAATTAATTTTTATTGGACCATCAAAATAATTATGCTGAAAACTCGATATTATTGAGCAATGCTGTAAAAAATATTGACATTTTAGCTATTAGTTTGAGTTTTCCACATAATTATTCTAGTGGTACAATAAAAATTAATTATTTTCAAATCTGTATCCGCAGCTAAATTTTAGGATCTTTTAGCAAAATTATTCTTTCCACGTATAATGTATAAATACGCATTTATCTATAAGTGCCTATACGTTCTGCCATTTTCGGAAAATGGTTAAAAGATTGTGATGGACTGGTGTCGCAAAATTGGTTATTTCAGTTGTTTGCCATGGAGAAAATTGAAAAAGCTACGATCCGAGGCGACGCAGCCATAAAATCGCGCACGTTAAACGGAACTTGTATGTTCACGGTTGTTCCACGACAATTTCTTCTCGCTCGCTCGCGAATATTATTTGAGTATTTCTTCTGAAAACACAAATATGCATTTGTAATTATAAAACACACCCACACTTTTTATATATATATAATATATATATAATACAGATTTTCACATGATTTTTCGCCTGATCTTTCACGTCGCGCACACCGCTGGGAACGATTTCTACGTTCGCGTTCGCGTAATTAGTAGATAATGCAGATAATGAATGATAATTAAACGGTATTTCGTTGCGTCACGGTTAAACGCGGCGATCCTTGCGCGTTGCCTAGTTTCTATGGAGAGGCGATCGTAAAACGGGACAAGAATTAATCGATACATTTCATTGTGGGTTTTGACGAGTTTAATGATTTTCTCTCACCCTGCCTCCCTTCTCCTCCATTTTCAGCCTTTGTGCGTATTATTACTGCAATTCAATTCCCCCCGAGCGAGACCGCGATAATTTACAGCTGGCAAATTCGTAAATTTTATAGTCGCGGTATAGTTCTCAATTGTGAAAATTTTTCACTTGCAAATTCAAACTGTCATGGCTTAGAAACGTCCGTTGTAATCCGTCGGCTCTGTACTGAACGCGTGCATTGAATATGGTAATTCAATACTGATAGTAATAAGATAATGGCTCTGAATGAACCGGTTTGTACTAGAAACATGTATTTTACATAATATGGAAATAGCCGAGATATTATAGTATTCTACGAAAATTTCGTGTCATTTTTTGTTGAGGAACTGAACTGGTTAATATTCTTACTCAAATGGGTCATCAGATTGTTACGTCGGTAGGAATATATTACCTAACGATATTTCCTCTTAAAAAAGAAAATAAGTTTAG